GGTTGCTATGAGTCGGTATTGACTATATGACATTGTGAGCTTGGCCCAGGACCGGGCAGTGTTTTGTTCTATTGTGCATCAGGTTGCTATGAGTCAGTACAACTACATGACATCTAACAGCAATGACAAACATTAACATTCCACTGATATTTATAAGGGTTTCAGTGGCTGACCATACAGAAGTGGTCTGCCTCTCCTTCCTCCTAGTCTGTCTTAGTCTGACAGCTATGCTGAAATCTGTCCTCTATGGACAGCCCTGCTGGTATTTAAATTCCTAGTGGCATAGCTTCCCACATCACAGCAATACACAAGTCACCACAGTATGACAGGCTGACAGGTGAGTGGTGACCATTTTGAGTTGTTTGTGAAATGAGCCTTCTTTGAACAACTGTCTCATGGTCTGTGTACAGGTTCCTCATGAGCACAATTAAAGTGTTCCTGAATACTCATTCTTTCTATCCATGAACATAAGGAACCCCGGTAGTGTAATGGGTTAGGCCTTGGGTTGCAAACCACAAGGTCAGCAGTTCAAATCCACCAGCCGCGAGAGAAAGCTGGGGCTGTCTGCTTCCATAAAGATTTGCAGAAACCCTACGGAGCAGGCCTGTTGTGTCTTACAGGACTGCTGAGAGCCACACTCAACTAGCAAAGTAAACTGGTGGTACCCATGTTCATGGGAGTACGTACCTTTGAACGTGCATGAGATCTTCATTGATTTCTTTCAGCAGAATCTCACGGTTTCCTTCATATTAAAACAAAACCACTAGTTGATGTTCGCTCAGTTCCAACTCATGACAACGCTGTGTGCTGCCTGCCGCATAGAACTGAACTTCTGAAAGCAGATCTCCAGTTCTGATTCCCAAGGCACTCCTGTGTGGATTTGAGCTGCCCGTCTTTGGGCTGATAGTTGGGTGCTGAACTCTTTGCACCATTAAGGACTCGCTTCGAGTGTAGCTTGGGAATATTTTGTTAGGTCAATACCTAAGTATTTCATTATTTTTGATGCAGAGGTAAATGGTATTGTATTTTTGTTTTTTTCAAATTTCAATTGTTCATTACTTGTGTGTGTTAATCTTACATCCTGCAAACTTACTGTAACTTCTTATTTGTTTCAGGAGATTTTTTGGGGGGTGTTTGTTTGTAGGGTTTTTGGCCAGTTCTTTAGGATTTTCTACATTGACAGTCATTATTTGTGAAGAAAGACAGTTTCATTCCTTCCTTCCCAATTGTTTCTTCTCTTGTCTAACTCTGACGTCCAGTAGTGGTGAGCAGGCCATCGTTGGCTTGTTCCAGTCCGCAGGGGCACTATGTTGTTCCCACCATCAAGTATGATGTTTGGAGTGTTTGTAGATGCTCGTCAAGTTGACAGAGGTTTCCTCCTTCCCTAGTTGGCTAAAGGTTTTTCTTTGCTTGTCTGTCTGTCTGTCTGTTTCGGTCTTGAATGAGCATTGGCATTTTTGCATCTGTTGATAGGACCGTGATTTTCCCTCTCTGGTCTGTTGATAAATGGAATACGCTTCCTGGTCTGGCTTATGAGTGTTGACCTAGCCTTGCACGTCACTGGTAAATCCCACTTGTCTGTGTGCAGACTTCACACCAGGTTGGATTTAATCGGCTAGTCACTTGATGAGGAATTTTGCATCTGTGTTCTTGAGAGATGCTGGTCTGGAGTTTTTCTTCTTAGTCATGGCTTTGCCTTTGGAGCTAGGCCAATGCTGAGCTCATAGAATGAGTCGCCAAGTGCGCCCTTCTCTTCTGTGTTTGACAAGAGTTTGAGAAGGATTGCTGTGAATTCGTCTTTAGATGCTTGGTAGAATTCCTCTGTGAAGCCATGTGGGCCTGATGCTTTCTATTTGAGATGGTTACTCACTGTTGATTCCGTTTCTAGAGATAAGCCTAATCAGATGATCATTTCTTTTTGTGCATTTTCTTGGTCTGAGTTTCTCAAAGCATTGGTCCATTTCGTCTGAGTTCTCAAGCTCGTGGACAGAAGGTTGTTCATGATTATTCTCTCTTGTCCCTCTGAGGGGCCGTGAAATCCATTGCGATGACCCATCTGTCATTTCTAATACTATGGTTTAAATCATCTTCCTTTTTCTTGATTGGCCCAGCTAGTGGCTTACCAAGTTTTCCGATCTTTTCAAAGAACCAGCTTTGGTTTCATTGATCCTGTGTATATCCTATTTTTTGTTTCATTGATTTCTGCTCTGATTTTTAGTATTCATTTTCTTCTGCTTACATTGGAGTTAATTCCTTTTTGGTTTTCAAGTTTCCTAAGGTGGAAAATTCTGTGATTGGTTTGAGACCTCCCTCTCCTCTTCTAATATATGCGCCCAGAGCTAAGCATTTACCGCCAGACACTTTATTCCGCAAATTCTGTGATTGGTTTGAGACCTCCCTCTCCTCTTCTAATATATGCGCCCGGAGCTAAGCATTTACCGCCAGACACTTTATTCCGCAAATTCTGTGATTGGTTTGAGACCTCTCTCTCCTCTTCTAATATATGCGCCCGGAGCTAAGCATTTACCGCCAGACACTTTATTCCGCAAATTCTGATCAGTTACAGTTTCACTTTGCTGAAAATATTTTTAAATTTCCCTTGATTTGTTTTAAACTCATGTGTTATTTATAAGTGTGTTGTTTAATCTCCAAATATTTGCAAAACTTCCACTCTCTTTCTGGTGTTGATTTCTAGTTTAATTTCACTGCTATCTGAAACATACGAAGGGGCTTCCGGAAGTTCCTCATTTCATTCTACCCTCCCTTGAACTTTTTGAAGTCCCTTGTACTCGCCCCGATTTGTAGTCTCTTCAGTTGATTACGGTGAGTTGTATGGTCAAGAGCCTGGCCGACCTCGGTGACTGTTCCACGTGAGCGTGGGAAGAACGTGTACCGTGCTGTTGTGGGTGGAATGACCTGCGTCCATTGCATCTGTTGATGGATGGGCCGTCCGTTCAACGCGGAGGTTCTGCTGGAGCTACTAGATTTCCGTTTCCGTCAGTCCTGTCAGGGTTGATCTCCCATGCTTTGACGCTCAGCTATCAGGCATGTCTTCTTGGAGAACTGGCCCTTTTGAAGCCCCTTTTGATACCTGGTCATTCCCTCGCTCTCCAGTCTGTTGTGTGAAGTCGGTGTAGCTACTCCCGCTTTCTTTCAGCTGGGCTAGCACGGTGTAGCGTTCTCTGTCCCCTCCCTGGAGTGGGCTTGTTGTGGACAGCAGATACCTAGGTCTTGTATTGTCATTTCATTCATTCAGGTCTTCCTTGGTGTATTTAACGGGATGGTTTATACAGGTCTCTCTGCTGCCCACCTTGTGAACAGAGGCCCATGGTGGGAGCCATGCTGGTGGTTGGGGGGGACCGGCGGTGTGTGGAGTCCTTTCCTGACTCAGTCTCCCCCCCCCCCACAGGTGGTCAAGTATCCCCTGCATGCCATCATGGAGATCAAGGAGCATCTCATTGAGGTGGCCTCTAAGGCGGGCATGCACTGGCTATCCACCATCGTGCCGACCCACCACCTCAATGCTCTGCTTTTCTTCTTCATCATCAGCAACCTGACCATCGACTTCTTTGCCTTCTGCATCCCTCTGGTGGTCTTCTACCTGTCCTTCATCTCCATGGTCATCTGCACCCTCAAGGTCTTCCAGGACAGCAAAGCCTGGGAGAGCTTCCGGACACTCACCGACGTGCTCCTGCGCTTCGAGCCCGGCCTGGACGTGGAGGAGGCCGAGGGCAACTTCAGCTGGAACCACCTGGAGCCCTACGTCCACTTCCTGCTGTCCGTCTTCTTCGTCATCTTCTCCTTCCCCGTGGCCAGCAGGGACTGGGTGCCCTGCTCCGAGCTGGCCGTTGTGGCCATCTTCTTTGCCGTCACCAGCTACGCCAGCCTAGGCACCTCGGCCGAGCCGCACACCCGCCGGGCCCTGATCACCGAGGTGGCGGCCGGTTTGCTGTCCCTGCTGCCCAGCCTGCCCTTGGACTGGCCACCTCTGAAGCTGCTAGGCCAGAGCCTGGTGCGCGTGCCTCTGGGCGGCCTGCTGGTACTCCACGTCAGCCTGCCGTGCCTGCTGTACCTATACCTCTTCTACTGCTGCTTCCGCATGGCACAGCTCCGGCACTTCAAGGGCACCTACTGCTACCTGGTGCCCTACCTGGTGTGCTTCATGTGGTGCGAGCTCGCGGTGGAATTGCTGCTCCAATCCAGCAGCCTGGGCCTCGTGCGCGCCTCCATTGGCTACCTGCTCTTCCTCTTCGCGCTGCCGGTGTTGGCTGTGGGACTGGCCCTGGTGGGCCTGGTACAGCTGGTGCGCTGGCTCGTGTCCCTGGAGCTGACCAAGGTGGCCGTGGCCCTGGTGGCCTGCGGTGTCCCGCTGCTGCTGCGCTGGGGCACCGGGGCCCGCGCCTCCCTTGCAGGCGCGCTGCAATCACTGACTCGCAGCTCCGTGGTCAAGCTCATCCTGGTCTGGGTCTCGGCCGTGGTGCTTTTCTGCTGGTTCTACGTGTACCGCTCAGAGGGCATGAAGGTGTACAACTCCACGCTGACGTGGCCGCAGTACAGCGCCCTGTGCGGGCCGCGCGCCTGGCGGGAGACCAACATGGCGCGGACGCAGCTTCTCTGCAGTCACCTGGAGGGCCACCGGGTCACCTGGACGGGCCGCTTCAAGTACGTGCGGGTGACGGAGATCGACAACAGCGCCGAAGCCGCCATCAACATGCTGCCCTTCGCCGTGGGAGACTGGCTGCGCTGTCTGTACGGCGAGGCCTACCCACCCTGCAGCGCCGACGGCACGCCCACCGCCCAGCACGAGCTGTGCCGCCTCAAGCTCCTGGCCAAGCACCCGTGCCACATCAAACGCTTCGACCGATACAAGTTCGAGCTCACGGTGGGCGTGCTGCCCGGCAGCCCCGAGGGCGCGCGCGGCCCCGACGAGGATGACGTCACCAAGGACATCGTGCTGCGCGCCAGCAGCGAGTTCCGCACGGTGCTCCTGGGCCTGCGTCAGGGCAACCTCGTGGAGTTCAGCACCGTGCTGGAGGGCCGCCTGGGCAGCAAGTGGCCTGTCTTCGAGCTCAAGGCCATCAGCTGCCTCAACTGCCCGGCACAGCCCTCGCCCGCCCCGCGCCACGTCAAGCTGGAGCAGGACTGGCGCGGCACCGTGCACGGCGCCCTCAAGTTTGCCTTCAACTTCTTCTTCTTCCCGTTCCTGTCAGCTGTGTGAGGACACTCCCCGGGGATTGTCTGGGGCCCGGCGCGGATTCCCATTTGCACACGGGTACATGCCTGGTGCGTGTGCTCGTGTGTGTGTGTGTGTGTGTGTGTGTGTGTGTGTGTGTGTGTGAGCGCATGCCGTGCATGTTAGTATGAGCGCACGCCACATAGCCTGCTGTGGAGGTCGGCTCTGCGCACACGCATCGCCAGCAGCCTTCCCGCGGGGGCCAGTCTGCAGAGTCTGGACTCCTGTCCCCCACGCCCCCCACCCCAAGTGCTCTGTGCTGACTCCTCAGGAGCAGGTGTGCTGGGCCACAGACTAGACGGCACGTCGTTCGTGTGCGCCCTGCTGAGCACCCGGGATCGGTGACACTAGGAACGCGGAGGACGTTAGTGCAGCCAAGGCCAAGGCAGCTCACCGGCCCTGAAGGCCTGTGAGGGGGGCGGGGGTCTTGTGTTCCCCCAGAGCCAGGGCCACAATGAAGTGAAGTGAAGCTGAGTCTTGGTTATCTTGTCCAAATGAAACCTCGTCTAGTGGCGCCTGCGGACCCTCAACAGGCATGTGTGTGTGTGTGTGTGCGTGCGCGTGCTGTGAATGGAACACAAAGACTCATCACATGACCTGATCTGTGTCCCAGGGGCTACACCCGTGTGTGTGACTCAACGATGAGAGCCCATTCTAGTACTTCTCCTCAGTGCCAGCCGCTCTAGTGGACATGGTGTGGCTTACGGTTACTAGGAACCAGGGAGTTGGGGGACAGGGACAGATGGGTGCCCTCGCTGTCCACACCCTCACAGTTACTGGGAACCAGGGAGTTGGGGGACAGGGCCAGGTGGGTGCCCTCACTGTCCACACCCTCACAGTTACTGGGAACCAGGGAGCAGGGGGGACAGGGCCGGGTGGGCATCCTCACAGTTACAGGGAGCGGGGGCACAGGGCCTAGGGTACAACCAGGCTTCAGTGGTTACTCTGTAGCCACAGCTGGTGTCTGATCATGAAAAGTTAACATCTCATAAAATCACGGCCCTGGAGGTGTTAGAGCTGCCCCAGGGGTGGGTCTGCACCCCTCAGGCCCTCATTTCTCTGCTGAGGGGAGGTGCTAGCCCTCATGGGACCCCCTTCTTGCATGTGGGTGGCAAACTCGGGGTGTATGCGCCTGTTGGTGCCCTGAGCTGTAAGGGTCTTGATGCCCCACGTGTTGGGGAAGTGTGCAGAATAGACGTGTTTGCTGGGGGCAGCTGGCATCCCTGCACCCAAGGGAGATGGGGAGGGGTGAACCCATCCCTTGCCCTCCTGCCAGCTCCTGTGACCCTCAGCTCTGTCCCTGCCCCAATCCTCCAGGGCAGGCATGGAGCCCCTCTGAGCTGACACCGCTGGTGTACCCGCATGGGGAGGTAAAAGGACTTGGACTAGGAGTGCCGAGCAGGGGGCTAAGGTCTGCTGTCCCAGGCAGCACCCTGGGATCCAGGCCTGCCCAGGAACCCTGGGTCCTCCACAGCTGTGTGCTGTCCTCCCAGACCTCAGTCTCCCCATCTGTAAGGTGGGACCATAGCAGAACCCCATCCTGCTTGTTGTTAAGTGCCGTCATGTCAGTTCTGACTCATACCAACCCTGTCAAGGGTTTTGGAGGAGCACCTGGTGGGTTTGAACTGCCAACCTTGCTGTTCAACCTTACGGTTCCGTGCATTTTCCTGCAGCGTCACACCAGGACTCTGGAGGCTGCCTGTGTCCCTAATAAACACTCACGGAAACACAACCAGTTAAGCCTCAGACACTCATTCACCGGTTCCTCATACAGTCCCCATCCAGAGCTCTGTACTGCCCGGCTGCCCCCATCCTGGCTAACCCCAGACTGCCATCCAGAGGGGCTCAGCAGACCCTGACTTCCTACCCCAAACACACCTGCAGGGCTCCGCTTCAGAGGGTCTGAGTCAGAACAGCCCAGCCCAGAGACAGGAGTTCCTCCCTGATGTAAGGTCTGCTGAGCTAAGGCAGGAAGGGCAGCCTGCCACCAGGGAGGGGTTGGGGACAGCATCTAACTCCAGCAGTACTGGGAAACTCTCCCGAGGAGGCGGATTTTCCCAATATTGGAGACTCACCGAGGCCTTGAGAAGCACTGGACATGAAGACCACCCCCAGGCGGCCGGGTGGGAGGGACCTGCAGGATTTGGCCTTTGTCTTGCAAGCAGCTGGGTGCCCAGTGAGATTGACAAGAGGGTCCTGAGCTGGGGCCTGGCCTGGGGGCACCCCCACAAGCAATGGACAGTCGGAAATGTCCTTTGCTCCTGGATGTGGGACAGATTGTAGGGTCAGAACAGTTGGGGGCAATGGCTCCTCTTGTGAGGGGTTCCTAGTCCCATGTGCACTTGGTCCTCCTGTAAGAATGCCCGAGATTCGCAAGGAGCGACCTGTGGTCTCCCACCCGAGGGGCTCTCGTGGCTGCCTGTGACATTCTGCTTTGTTAGGGACTGTGTTGTGCAGCAGTGTGTGTGTCTTCAGTCAGCTGGGACTCCTAGTGACCCCGTGGGACAGTAGAACTGCCCCGTAGTCTCTCCAAGGTTGGGATTCCTGCCAGCGCAGATCGTCCAGCCTCTTCTATAGACCTGCTGCTGGGTTCAAACCAGCGACGTCGTGGCTAGCAGCTGAGCACCAGGGCTCTGTGCAGCAGCAACGGAAAACCAGTGATGGGATGGAATCAGTCCCGGACGTTAGCGTGCCGTCCACGCTCACAGTTCAGTCTGGATGGAGTTGGGATTCGTCCCAGGCCTGCTGGTTCATGATAAAAACGGCCAGTAAACTAGGGACCTCACTCAACTTGACAACATCGGAGAAATACCCTCTAGCATATCGAGAAATTTGACACTTTTCTCTAAAAATCGATAACAAAAATACAAACCAAACCCACTGCCCTGGAGTCGGTTCCAACTCAGCGCGAACCTCTAGTGCAGGTAGAAGGACCCCATAGGGTCCAAGACCGCAGGCAGACGGCTGGCTGCCACATCTTCCTGCAGGGCGGCTCGTGGGTCCAAACTGCCGAGCTTTCGGTCAGCACAGAGTGCTTAACCCTTGTGCCACCAAGCTCCTACTAAGTTAACAAAGAAGATGTCACAGAGCTCGAGGCAATGTGAGGCGGGGGGCAGCAGGGCACCCCTACCTCATCGCATCTCCCTCCTGGCTTCCTCCTCCTCTGGTTGTGTCCACTACTGGATATGAGCTTTTAAAAGCTTCCCCTTCCTGAACCCCAACTTTGGGCAGTCCCCCGACACATGATACATTAGTCTCGGGGGACAGTTTCCGGGAGCTGCTATTTATCCTGGAATTCCTTCTGGAGGCTCCAGGGGAGAGTTGTGTCTGGGCCATCCAGTGCCCAGTCCCTCTGCCGGACGTGTCTCCCTGACCCCTTCTCTGTCACCTCTTTCATGGCCCTCTGCAGGTGATGTACCACACGCACAGGTTCCGAGGCTCAGTCAGGTGGCGCTGGGTGTGGAGGGACGAGGTTGTGATGCCATCCACGGACTCTGAGTCTGATGCTCTAACCCTGGCTACCCCCACGTGCTACCTCTATGAACCTGGGCGTTCTCCGCATCCACACCTGCCACAGGGAACATGCAGCCTCCATGGGACGGTCAGTGGAGGGTCCCTGGCACGGTGTCCTGGCAGGTTCAAGAACACATTTCTGTTCTCTTGGTCCAGAGAGGTCAGCCACCTGTCCGAGGCCACATAGCCCCTTTCTGTGTTGATTGATAACAAAAGCCATGCCAGGCCCATGGGAGCAGCACAGGGAGACACAAGTGTGGGGGGTTATCTCAGCCACCACAGCAGGGGGATGGGCCTGAGTCTGAGCTAGCCCACACCCCTGTGCGCTTTGTCAATGACCCCCTCAGTGTTCCTGGGAACACTGAGGCCACATATGCTAGGGGGGTCAGCCAGCCCAAGCCCGGAACCCAGTTCCAACACTGTTGGCTATGTGACCTTCTACTGTTTGAGCCTCAGTTTCCTCACTGGAACCATTTTCTCAGGGTGGACAGCTACCTACACCTGCTTGAAGAAATCCAGTGGTGATTGATGGGCTGCTTAGGTGCCAGGCACTGAGCCTTATGGCATTATCTAACTTAATCATCCCTCCCAAAATGCATTCGTTCCCACCACCCATGGGTCAGTTTGTTCTGTTGTGATCACTTGTGTGTTTCTGGGCTGCTGAGCAAATAATCCGAGAAGCTGCACTATATATACAAAGAACACAGCATCAGGATTGGAGGAAGACTCGTTAGCAGATGGCACAGCCTTGCTTGCTGGAAGCTAAGAGGACACGAGGCACTTGCTGATGAAGATGAAAAACCACAGCCTTCAGTATGGATCACACCTCAGTGTAAAGAAAACAGAAATCCTCACAACTGGACTGATAGATTGTTGTTGTTATGTGCCGTGGAGTCGGTTCTGACTCATAGCGACCCTGCACAGGGTTTCCGAGGCTGTAAATCTTTACAGGAGCAAAAAGCCTCATCTTTCTCCCGCGGAACAGCTGGTAGTTTCGAACTGCTGACCCTGAGGTTCACAGCCTGATTCGTAACCACGACACTACCAGATAGATCACATCATGATAAACAGAGAAAAGACTGAAGTTATTCATTTGATTTTACTCAGATCCAGAATCAAGTCTCATGGAAGCAGCAGTCACGAAAACAAACACCATATTGCATTGGGCAACCTTACAGCAAAGATGTTACTTACAGGACTAGGGGACACCTGACCCAAGCCAGGGAATTTCCAATCACCGCATGTGTATGTGTATGTTGGACCCGGAATAAAGAAGACTGGAGAAGAATCAATGCATTTGCGTTATGGTGTTGGCGAAGAATGTTGAAAGTGACGTGGGCTGTCTGAAGAGTAAACAGATCTGTTTTGGAAGAAGTACAACCAGAATGCTCCTTGAAAGCCAAGATGGCGAGACTTTGTCTATCGTACTTTGGAGAGACAAGTTCCTGGAGAAGGACATCACATTTGGTAAAGTACAGACTAACAGGAAGTGAAGAAGAACCCCAGAAGATGGATCTACTACCTGAAAACAGGTTTGTGCTCAGGTGCGACACTGCCAACAAGCAAACTCTAAGGAAGAGTTGTTAAGTACCCTCAAGTGTCAAGTCGATTCCGACCCATAGCCACCCTGGATAGGGTTTCCGAGGAGAAGATGGTGAGTTAGAACCACCGACCTTGCAGTTCAAACGACTTTGCAGTCTGGTGCATTAACCCAGAGCGCCACACCAGGGCTCCGTGGTGAGTTATTAGGCCGTGCCCCAAGGAGGAACCTGGCCGTGTATATGTTAGCTGCCCACAGGTTCCTGCAGAGAACTCAGAGTGCGGCGTTAAAACAGGGTTTGTAAACGCTCACATCTACACATCCCATCTCCAAGGACCTGTATTTTGATCCATGAGAACTAAAAAAGCTTGTTCAATTTGCTCTTTTATCTGACAAAAGTTCCGACTGCTGCTGTAAGTTTTCATCTCTAGCACAGGGGAGGGAGTGCAGTTCTTCCAGACTGATCTCTTCTGGAATGTTCCATGTTAGAATCCAGCATCCTCAGCTCTGGGCCTGAGGACTTTCTCTTATGAATAATTTTATGCCCTAAGTCATCGGTTGGGCCATCAGGCTGACAGTGGCTGCTGCAAAGGGCTCATTGTGAGGGCGGTACAGGACCGGGCTGGGTTTCCTTCGGTTGTACATGGTCTCAACGGCACCTACCACCACCACGCAGGCGCTTTGCAGTTGTTGAGTTGATTCCATCGGTGTCACAGAGGAGACCTGCCCCAGACGGTTTCCCAGGCTGTCATCTAGTGTATCACTATATACTCATTGTTGTTGTTGTTGTTATGTGCTGTGGAGTCAGTTCC